GCTCGAGGAATAACTCGAAGTCTACACCTCGACCCGAGTAGCCACCTATGTACGCGTCAACCTCTTTCGGCAACACATGTCGATACTTGCAGTGGTCGACTCCTTTGGCTACACGACTCGCCTCGGTATAGATATTTTTATACCAATTCCTATGTTTTCAACCCTTCCATAGCTAAATTTGATCTTAATTAAGGTAATTGAGGTCAGTATAACGTCCTATTTCCAAGTTCATGTTGATTAAAACTAAAAATGCATGTTATTAACGGAAATAAGTTGGACGTTCGAATAGGAAACAACTCCTGACGATGGTTAGAGCAACTTTGAGGAAATTGAATCCCAACATACTCAAATGTAGGGAGAACGCCGGCTAAGGCCAACCAAGTAAGTGACCTTACTAACAGCATGACTATATTTAATGTTGTGTGTTGACACGTCCCCATGGTTCTGCACGTGTCAGATTTTTGATATGTGTGAATTATTTATGAATCGGTATGACTATGATAAGATATGTATATCTTATAATATGTGAATTCTATGATAACTCTTACGGTTTGATGTGTGAAATGATATGTTTGAGATAAGATACGAGAATGATGCAATAAACGTGATGCAACAATATGACTAAGATATGTTCATAAAACGATATGGTTAGGTTATGTATAAAAAATGATATAATTATGATAGATTGGTAAAATGATATGGTTAGGATATGTTCATGCAACGGTATAAGTAAGATATGTTCATGAGATGATATGAGTTGGACACATTCATGAAATGATATGGTTAGGTTATGTATAGAAAACAATATGATTATGATAGATCGATAAAGCAATCTGGTTAGGTTACGTTCATAGAACAATATGAGTAGGATACGTTTGAGAAACGATATGATTAAGATATGTTCATGAAATGATACGACTATGATATGTATAAGAACGATAAGACTATGATAAGTTTAGGAAACGATATGACTAGGATATGCATATGGAACGATATGACTATGTAGTGTTTACGAAATGATACGATCATGATATGATATGTGAATAATGGATAGATATATGTTATGGTACGATATATGTGATAGATTGATATGTTCATGATATGATATATTGTGATACAACTGTAATGACCCTAAATTTTCTACTTAATCTAAGGTCGCTACTATATACAAATCATGAATATTGAATTCGAAAATAATTCATTTGAATTTCTTTATAAAACATAAACCTTCATCTTAAAACATTGTCATGGTCTTCGTGTTTGAAAATATCTTTAAAACGACACAACGAAAGACTAAATAAAAATAAATACATATTTTAAATAAAAACATCATATCCTGGCCTAAGTCTAAGAAAATAAATGCATCTACCCTATATATGTGTCATGATCTCGAGTTGCGATGTCATCGTCAGCCGTACAGGGATGTCTTGCATTAACCTAAAATAGAAGTAACACGAGGTTTGAGTATTTTAGAAATACTCAGTAATTGACTCCATTATTGGGGTTAAATGCAAACATATACAATTTAATGAATGCTATCATAACAGTCTATTTGCTTACGACGGGTATCCTAATGGAAACTTGGATGTGTACTTAATTTTCCTATACAAGATCCTCACGTTCAAGTATGGACTCACTAGTCGGTTTGCACATCTCCTAGGCCCCTTTTTGGTCGGGCGAGCATTCTTTGGTAGTTGTTGATGCCAGACACTCATTAGGTGTAGCAACCGTTACGACACCATTATGATAAAAATAATGATCGTTTCTCTACCTCGTAGCATACGCGTCCGTACTATCATAAAAAATATGGGGTATCCCCAAATGCATGAGCACACAATAATGCATGAGGTCCCAACATTTTTCTATTTTCATTATTAATTAATACAACCCTGCTAGCATCTTGCTTCATATCATATCATTTATTATATCGTTTATCATATCATTTATCATATCTTCCATGCATATGTTGGGGTTGTATTTCATGCTAGTTCGTTGTTTTACATGTCAATCATATCATATCATTCATATTACATACATATGTCATACCATAACGTTTCCATGCTTCCAAGTATAACAATTCTCATGCACATATAATACCATATCATATATCACAACAGTCATATAACATAACCAATGTATGTCTTCCACATATCACCCCATAACATATCGTATCACAATATATCATATCATAAACATATCAATTTATCACAATATATATCCGTCATTCACATATCATATCATTTCTTAAACACTTCATAGTCATACCGTTCCATATGCATATCTAGTTATATCGTTTCTTAAACTTGTCATAAACTTATCCTTCTTATGCATCTCATAGTTGTATCATTTCATGAACATATCTTAGTCATATTGTTTCCAAACGTATCCTAACCATATCCTTTCATGAACCTATCCAAATCATATTGTTTCGTGAACGTATCCTAGCCATACCATTGCATGAACGTATCCTAACCATATCGTTTTATCAATCTATCATAACCATATCGTTTTCTATACATAACATAACCATATCTTTTCATGAACATATCTTAGTCATATCGTTACATTACGTTTATCGCATTCTTCTCGTATTCTATCTCAAACATATTACTGAACACATCATATCATAAGAGTTATCATATCATTCACATATTATAACATATACATATTATATCATAGTCATATCGTTTCATAAAAAATCCACACGCATCAAATATATGACACGTGCAGAACCACGAGGCACGTGTCAACACACAACATCAAATAAGACCATTACTTGGTTAGCCTTAGCCGAATTTTTGTTTTTCTAATTCCAAACCATCTTGTGAGTGCGTTGTGGTGCGATGGACGGTCGAGGCAGAGATGGAAGACGCACGAGTTTGGGTTTTGACTCTCCATTTTTATGAATTTGTAATCTTCCATTGCTCCATGAACTTTTGATGGAAATCCTCCGTTGGAAGCATTTTCCAATTTCCATCTCTAATTTAGAAAAAAAAAAAAAAAAAAAACAAACAAACAAAAAAAGAAAAAAGAAAAAAGGAAACCGGAAAAAAGTCCAATTTGGGAATTTGATCTAATTACACGACGGCGAAGGAGGAGTTGGATCCACGAACAGGCAGGTCCCAAATTCCTTCTCCCGTTTTCTCAATCGAAGCTCAGCCATGGTGTTGAACAGTCCTGTCGTTGTTTGGGTCGCCAATCTTTCTGCCGATCTCTGTCAATACGTCGCCTGTAATCCCGAGCGCTTGAGCAGCGACCATGTTCTTTACCTCATCTTCTGTTTCCCTTTCCACCATATCCGACGTATCTCCCTTTCCCTCCTTTCCTCCCTCTGCTTTCCCTCTCTCTCCTCCTCTTCCTCCTCTTCCTCCTCCGATTCCGATTATTCCAATACCGACGACCTTGATTCCTACGATTACAATTCTCACTCCGATTGATTTCCTCTATTGTATTACCTGTTTCTGATTTGTAGTATAATGACTGTTGATTCAATCTGATGTTGGATCTCTCTTGTAAACTTATTCTATAATTTTACCAATGCATATTAGACGCGTGATATTGTAAATTTCTTTGTTGTTTGTTCCTTTAGTTGTTTGGCCTGGGATGCATTTCCTCTATCTTACCTTGGTTTGTGTTCTTTCATTATGTTTAGTCATGGATCTGATTATTGTTCTCACTTTGCTTCCATTATTTTCTCTCTTATGTACAAAGAAAATGGCTTCTATGAGGTGGTATTCTCGCAGGATTGCTTGGATGTGGTCCGTCTTATCTTCCTTTGAGTTCAAGCTACTCCTTTATACGTGTACCAAACATTAGTCCCATACGATGATTGGAGGCTTGGCTGTTAATTCTATTCAAGATTTTCCTTTGAAATCTCTGTTGGAATTCCTTCTAATTCTTGTTCAAAACCTTTAATCTTTGAAAGTTCATACACCTTTTGATTTTTGTGTTAACTCGCCCCGGTTTATTTGATATCTAACAGAGGAAGATTCTTTACTCTATCAAACGGCATTCTGAATCTTGGCTGTACTTACTTTCCTTTTGGTGACGGAAGTTTGGTTCAAACTTCTCTTTCAGTTATCAGTTCAGTCTGAAACGAGTGTTCCTTTGGAAGTCTATCATTCTGGTGTTTATTTGGTGTTGTGGTTATACAGAAGAAGAGGACTTTTATGCATAAGATTGATGACTGCAACTCAAATTTGGCAGTCGGTGAAGTTTGCTCATATTTAGGATTAAAAATGTTAAAATGGTCGATTTGTTTCTTCTTTTTCTCATATGTATTCTTGGTGTTGTTTCTTTTTTTGCTTGTTTGCATCATGATACATGAAGTTCTTTCAGTAACTTCTCCCATTTCTTTTGTGCTCAATCCCCGCGTTGCTTCAAATTTTATTATGAAAAAGCTGTTTGTCCCTGTTTTTGTTCTTCCAGTCTTTCTCTTACCAAGCATGTATGAGTAAAGTTTAGTTGCTGGAAATTTTATGCATCGTCTTCATTGATTTCAAAAGTATTGTGGGAAGCAGAAGCAAGCTTATGTACCTGAATAGATTCATGCATGCGTATTATAGTCATGCATTGTATATTTAACATGTGAATGCCCTGCATTACATTGGATAAGCCAAAAGAAAGATTTAGTAAATCTACCTTCATGAAATTTCATTTAATCACGGTATGGTTTGCATATTCATTACTCGAATAATGATCACATGGTCTGAAACTCTATTATGTTGAAATATGGAATGTTGGCATTTAACTTTTCTTGACACCATGTATGTCTTCATGATCGGATACTGGTCTTGTTGTAGCTATTTGTACATGTTCCTTCTCTTATTTTTTCCTCAAAAGCAAGGTTCATTTGATCTATGGTTCGTTGAACTCATTAGTTATCTGATGTTGCTTGATATTCTTGCATTGATAAACCTCACTGCAGCCTGATTCTCACACTCGACCTGAACTTTGATATGCATGGGTTATCTTTATCTGAAGCAAATTTGAACATGTCAAACATTGATTGTTGTGTTCTGGCTTCAGTTCCTTGTTGATGAGCCTGAGAATTCTGGCAGCATACACTTGCTTTTAGCTTCTCCTTGTCTAAAGTTGAGTCTGGTTAGCTTCAAATCTTTCTTCTTCCGCACATTTTTCCTATCTTGTTTAGAAAAAAAAAAAAAAAAAAAAAAGTGATCTTATGAGTACCATGAATGTCCACGTATGATTGTAACAATTCAAGTCACTGCTAGCAGATATTGGCCGCTTTAGTCCGTTATGTATCGTCGTCAGCCTCACGGTTTTAAAACGTGTCTACTAGGGAAATGTTTTCACATTTTTATAAGGTATGCTTTGTTCCCCTCGCCAGTCGATGTAAGATCTCACAGTAATATTGTCTACTTTAGACATAAGCTCTCGTTGCTTAGCTTTTAGAACCAACTAAAGGCCTTATGGATGTTATTATTCTCACATATGTACGATAGATTTGTCTCTTCTCGAGCCAACAAAGTACATTTTTTGCACCTAACATGATCAACTTGATTATGAAGAAAAACACATACAGATCAATAGTAGTGGACATGGTCAACTTGATTATGAAGAAAAACACATACAGATCAGTAGTAGTGGTAGTAGTTTTTGAGTTGTAGCTTTTACCTTATTTCACAAACTTGGTGGGCCAGATATGAGACTTTACAGTGAAAGAAGAAATTTAGGAAAACTGGAGTTCAGTCGTAACAAGGTAGAGAGTTTTAATTCAAATGTTTTGTTCCCGCTTCTAGGCCTTTTGTGATAGATAATAGTCTCTGCTCAGCTGTTTGACACTTGGAACAGGTTGAAAAAGACAATGGATTTGGCCAATTTATTGAAAAAGACAATGGTAGGTGATGGTGTTCAATGCTTAGGTTGGATGGGAATGCTTCTCTCTCACTCTGCTCCCGCATGCGGGAAAAAAAACACCTTATTTTCTGCAAACGGTGGTCTCCATTTATGTGGTGTTTTAAGAGCTTCCCACACAGGTGATGTATATACATTTTTGGGTGCACGCAGGTGTCTTCCAGAGTGCTTTTAAATTAAGTGTTTGTAGCAAAAGTACTTGGTAGAAAGAAATCTGTGATGTTTTCTTAAGACTAACTTCAAGCATTTTTTAAGGGGATTTTTATGAAAACCGTTTTGCAAATTCTTTCTCACAAAACAAATATTGTAGTTTTGGAAAAATGTCATATTGTAACGAAAAGGTGTTATTGTCATTATTGTCATGTTTCTAATTAAGTTTATTTTCTTTTAGTTTTGGAAGTATGAAAATTTAAACTTAGCACATAAATACGATAGTTTTAAGGTTTAGGGTTTAGCGATACAAAAGCCTTTTTAAATATAGCTTAGAGATACAAGATTGCATAGCTTGTTAGACTGATAGAAAAACAGTTAATTACTTAAAAAGTTTAAACTCACTCTCAGATTTTATGAACAAAAAGCTTTATAACTGGTTTAGTTTGTTTATACAAACAACAAATTTGTGTCATTATCAAATTCAAATTTATATTTAAATAGGAGAATTAAAAGACCCATACAATACAAAATCCTATTTAAAATCGACCTTCCACTAAGAACATATATATATTTTTTACATTACATTTTATACACAAAAATAAGAATTCATCTCTTTTGCGGCTGTGCCTCACACCACAATACCAAAGAACAGAGCAGAGCAGAGGATGCTGATGATGAGATTGAGATTATCTCTTTCTCTTCTTCATTCAAATTCTGCGTTGCAAAAATAAATAGAACATAAAAGGGTCAGTTCTTTCCATTCAGTGCCAATGGCTTCCCATTTGCTTCCTTATTCTGAATCAGTTTCCATGCTTCCCATGGCTTTCAACCCTGTTGGTCTCTGCAATCAAAACCCACACAGCATTTTCAAGTTCCAAGTCATAGCCATAGCCATTTACCAGACGGTTTTCAAAGAACAAGCAAGTTGGTGTTACCTTCTTTGTGGTCTTCTTTTCCGTTACTTCATATCTCTCTTGGCTCATTTCAGTCAGCCAGGCTCCAGGGCTCACCAGCTGACACAAACAAACCCCCAATCACTAACCCACAAACAAAGAAAGAAAAGGAGGAAGGTGGTGGTGGTGGTGGTGGTGGCGGCGGTTGCTTACGAGTAAGCTTCTCTGAATCATCTTTGCTCTCTTTTTGGGTCTTATTGGGAGCTTGCACCCCTTCATGGCCATGAAGTCCTCTTCCTTTTCTTTGCTTGACAGAGCAATCAACAGCTTTGGCCAAACATAGCAACCTCCTCTCTCCTCGTGCCCGTGCTCGTCCACCACTGCTGCGGTGGATCCTCTGGTGGCGTAGTAACGATCCTCCTTCTCTGGCGACGGCGCTGTGCCTGCACCACCGTTACGCAGTGTAGCAACGCCTTCAGAATTCCTGCCACCAAACAGATCCAACAGCAAACAAAATTGTTTCACCAAACCCTCTCTTGAATTGCCCTCTTTCCTAGCTGGGGGAGGAGAAGAAGACCCAACGACACAAATACATAGCCCAGGAAAGCACAAAGTAAAGTGATGAATCGAGAAAATTCAGTCATAATCGTCCTTTGTTTTCTAATCTGCTTTCAAATAGTGTGGAAAACAACATGTATTGAGCGTCGATTTCTAACCTAGTTAAACGATTTGGTTGGAGTGGGGTCCTTTCTTTATCCGAAGTAGAAACCACACAGCGATCGCCCCGAGATCCGATTTTGTTCCGTAGGCCGCCGCACAATCTCTCGGAGATTTCTGGGTCTTTGATTCTAGCACATCGCAGTCGCTTCCTCTTTACCCACTGTATGAAAACCTCCGGTTCCAGAGCCTTACATCCACTTTGATTCTGATTCCTGACCTCCGTCTCCATATCTGCGAAGGGGAAAACAACGAGAAATTCATAAATCCGTTTGGAAATTTCCAATTGAGACAACTGTGGAAACAGAATGAATTCGATAACGCTAGAGAACAACGAGGCTAATCCGGATTCTTCCACGTCTCCCTTTCTCAACTTCGAGGAGAACTCGCATAGGAGATTGCAGAAGTGGAAGAAACGATCTCTAATCACAAGATCTGATGAAAAACACGCCCTCGCCAAATCAAAGACAGTGAGAGCGCATGAAAGCGAAGATGAAGAAGGAGGAAAAGAAAACCGAAGAAGAGGAATACTCACAATGAGAGAGGACGATGCTTATGAACGACAGAAGAAGGTTTATCCGATGAAGGAAACTCAGATCTTCAAAGGAAATTGCAGCTCCGATCGTGATAATCAATTTGAAGCCTCGATGACCAGAAAAAATCTCGGGATAATCGGGTTTGTGGTGTGGAAATTTCCCAGCATTACTAGAGAGAATGTGTGGTTGAGTGAGCTTGTTGAAGCCTGAGCTATGGCTATGGCTATGGCGATCGTCTTATTCGCTGATGCTGTTTCTGATTTTCTCTCTCTCCTCGCCCTCTTCTTCTTCTTCTTCTTCTTCTTCTTCTTCTTCTTCTTCTTCTTCTTCTTCTTCAATTTGGTTCGAGGAAAACGAAAGTTCAATTCCCATTCTGTTCGACGAGAAGTACGATCGTGGGCTCGATGGGCCCAAACGCTTCTCATTTTGGGCTGCCTCACAGCGTACGAGGGATTGATCCTTTAGGAATTAAGAGAGCTAAGATTTTAATTTTATTTAGATTTAAACCAAATTAAATATTAGATAAATTTACCTAAAAAGAAATAGGTAGAATGTTAAATAATATATATTTTGAATATCTAATATACCGGAACATAATATTTTAAATAAGATGTAAATGTAATGTCTCAATATATTTAACTAATTTGAACCTCTGCATCAATTTCAATTTATTCTCTTCCTCGAATATAATATTTTTACTCACATGAAATTCATGTGGCTGATCATACAACCTATGTACCTTAGTCTCATCCTCTATGCCAAAATACACCCTTTTTTAATTTCTATCCTCAAGCTTTTTGATATATGACTTTGCAGTCTTAACTCTTAGATGCTCGAAGTGAGATGTCTTACCAAATCATGCTTGTAAGGAGTGCAAGTGTCCGACTCCTTTGTATGTAAATGATTTAGAAGGTAAACCGCATGTAATATTGCCTTAGAAAATCGCCAAAATTTGTATGCTCTTGAGTAGCTTCTTGCAGTGTTCATTATAGTAGTTAGCTTTTTTGCCCTTAATCTCAAATTAATTAATTAATTGATGTTTTGATGATAACAAATCTACCTTCAATTATTAACAATTCTCAGTATTTTGTCCACAGTGTAAGGGTGGGAATAACAATTTCAACGTCTTTTTTGGTTCACTCAAATTAGAGATAAAACGAATAAGTTTTAGTCAAAACAAGATCCCGACATGATGATGTGGCGGTAAAATTGACATTATGGACCAATCAAATTCAAAAGAAGATACCTGACGTGATGATGTGGTGACAAAATTGACATCATGGACCAGCAGCAAAATTGACATCATAGATCAATCGAAGTATGACATTTATAACTTTGATAGAGTAACAAAGGGTGGAGTTTTCAATTACATTTATAAAAGTTTTCCATTACTTTTGAATTAAAGGAGGAATATTTGGATTATAAAATCATTTCAATTGCATTTATAAAAGTTTTCGGTTACTTTCAATGGAAAGAAATTATAATAATTTCATTTACATTTATGAAAACTAGTTTTAAGAAAGAAAATTATTTGAATTAGAAAATTATTTCAATTACATTTATAATGATTTCAATTAGATTTATAAAACTTTTCAAGTTATCATATAGTTTTCATTAACATTTTTTTATTATATTATATTATATATATATATATATGAAACATATGGTCTATAATTTTTTACGATAAATTTAAAAATAAATAAATATTATTTTTCGTGGTCCACATTTCAGTTCACGTTTTAGTGCTCTGTATCGATTCCTATTTTTACAACTCGATCACTATTTAAACTCATCACCTCTTCATATTTTTCAAAAACACACCTAACATTTCACAATACACAAAGCTCCATAGTTTCCTCAATCTAAACTTTTTTTTAAAAAGCTTCTATTGTTGCTCTCTCCTTTATGAATTCAGTGGATGTATGGTCCCTTGAGAGGGTTGTTAGCTAACCTCTATGGATGACGTTCAGATCCAGCCATACGATCCTCTCAGATTTACTTATGAGGTCGCGCCTCACCACAAGACATTGACCATTTCACTACATATGATAGGTAAGCCTCCTAAGATACAGAAAAGAGGTAGCTTAGATCACTCTCCTTAGAAACCTGAGAAAGACCGTGGATACCTACCAAGATAAGGATGCGAAAAGAGCCTACAAGTAGGTGCTTACTGAGTATTTTTATACTCATTCCTTTCTGCTCTTTTTTTTTTTTTTCAGGTGAGTGATGTCATGGTTCGAGGTAGGAATGCATGCTGAATCTTAATGCCACAGAGGAGTGTCCCGGGGCGTCTAGGAGTGTGTGCATATTTTTGTTTAGATCTGTCATGCATTGTTTTGTAAACCATTTATATACTTTTCATAGAACTCATATGCTACTTGAACGCCTTGTTTGGATTTCAAACTTTCTACATAATTGCTATTTTTTTTTTTTTTTTTGTAATTTCTTCTTATCCATTTGCTTTTACATGATTTCATTGCATAGTCTGTTGGTCCAACCCTTGATTTCGAGACTCAAATTTTGGGTTCTGATAGTTTGGTATCAGAGCATGGTTTTAGGTCCTCTAGACATTAGGTTGTAGAGTCTAGTATCTCTGTGGCTTAAGTTTCGACAAGCCCGCTGCGATCTGGTAAGTTCTCTGATAATTGGGAAGTAGAAAGACTTGAGTTATATGTTGGGAGATCTAAGATGAGGATTAAAAAGAATAAGGAATGTGCTTCTTTTGAATTAGGCACAATGAGAACATAGTATTGACTCTCACTCCCCGTCTGTTGACAGATAATGGCGCCTAAGAGAAGAGGGGATTATCTTGGGCCTGGCCCTAGGAGGGGCAGGATAGGGTCGAAGAGGACCCAAATTTTCCTTTTCTCGAGGTGGAGCAGCATCCACCTCTAGAGGAGAACCTAGAACTGACCTTAGATGAGGAACAACGCCGCCACCAGCACCCGTGCCGAGGAGAGGCCGAAAAAAGATCGAGCCTCGAGTTATTCTAGAGACTGCTTCTTCAGATCAGGTACCTGAAGAAGCTCCACCAGCACCAGTACCGATTCCTATGGT